CTTCATGAGAGCTTTATGGGTTCCATGTCGTATTTAGTGCTCTTGTTTTTTCCAAGCTCCCTTTTGCTTCCCAGTAGTGCTGTTGGTTATGATTTGAGGGATAGGGAGGTGTTCACTTGACTGCTTAGAGACAAATACAGTCAAATACCAGAGAAGACTTGCAAGCAATCTGATGTTAAATTTGAACCTTACCAAGGTGGTATGTTAATGTTTTGGGGGTTTTATACCTCTTTGGTTGGTGAAGCTCACTCACTCCCTCAAATTGTAGACTCGTAACCAGTACATGGCGACTCCAATTAGCTCTGCTCAGGGCTGAAGAGTCTCAGACTGTAACAAGGTCTCCCAGGACCACTTACAACACAAATACTGTACTCATATTTTCTCATTAGTTCCTTTCAGTTGCCATAAATTCCATTTTCCAACGTTTTCAGATTTACATCAGAAATAGAATAGCTCTGTGTTTGTATGCACACACACACACACATGTATAAAATACGTAGACACACGTATACACATATATATAAATAACATTATTTTTCATAACTTAAGGATCTGTGTTACCTTTTCTTACAGGTAGAAGCTTGAAGTTTACTTCATTTACCTTAAGCTTTCAGTCAGGTCAGAAAATATAGGGATCAATTGGCTAAGAGAAGAAAAATTACAGCATTCCAGATGACTTATTTTTTCTAGTTTGTTAGAGTTCTATTATTTTTAAGCTCTAGTTTTGGGAAGGCATAAACCTTGACTCTGAGAAATCATTGCACATATGTATATGTGTGAAGTTATCAAGAATATGGGCCTAAATTTGAAGTTGCCATTAGACATATCTGAAACACTATTTCAAATGCAGTTTTGTGAGTTTTGAAGAGACATTACCATAAAATACCAAAAAAGAGAGAACTCTTTGTAGACCTAAGTAATTTTTCACACCTACAGACCAGGTGGGAAGAGCAGTAGACACAAATACATGTCAGTGGATAAATTTCGGTAGTTTCTGCAACCCAGATGGAGAGTTTTCTATTGACAGCAATTGCTGAAAGTTGAGCAACATTATAGCTATGTTGTTTTCACCCTGAGATTCTTTTAATTTTTGAAGTAGAAAGACATCTTAAGAAATCATAAACATAAGAGGTAATCTTAAGTTTATTAGTCTCTGAATGTAATGGAATTTTGTGATGTTTTCAGTGTTCCTATGTTCATCACAGTATTCGGTTATCTTGCATTTCTAGTTATCTTACAGACCTCCATGGTTTTGTAATTCTATTTTGAATTAACAGTATGTAGGTATATTCTTAGTTATATTCCTGATTTCATAATATTGTTTGATTGGCTGGTTGATGTCAAACCAGTTTGGGCTTTATGCCTTTCTCTTGCTCCTAACTGCACTGTAAATTTCACAGTATGTGATACTAATTTCTTACTTTTAGAATCAAATGCAATAAAACTGAATTGCCTAAGAGTCTATTGGAGAACGGCACTCATAAAATATTGAATAGATCTAGGGAAAGCTTGGTATAAGAATTTCTTGGATAATATTTTCAGGTTTAATAAATACACTGTGTCTTCCTAAAATTTTTCATGTTCTCTGTTTTGATATTTTAATGTGCTATATATTTCTAAATGGTACTCATTTGCAAAGAAGAAAGTGAAAAGATTTTAACTTTGACCAGCTGTGATCCAGACATATATATTAGCAAAGCTCTTAACTATAGTTTTATTTTTTTATTCCTTCACTCATTTTTGGTAATAAGTTATTTTGAGTATAAAAATATTTTTTCTTTCTGGAAGGTTGTTTATTTTTTAATACATTTAGCACAGCTGATAAAAGCCTGCTCAGTAACATTGGTTCAAGAGGTTTAAGAAATTGTCTCAGCCTTGGCACAGAGCTGTTGCCACCATGTCCATGTTAGTCCCTAACAGAGAGGGGTTAGTCCCCAAGTCCTTTGTGACTCAGTTTTCTGGTGTGCTTACTTCTGAAATTTGCCACAGCTTTAAATAATCATTTTTCTTCCATTTATTTACCAGTGTGATGCTGGGGTAGTTTTTTGGGGTTCTTTTTGTTGTTTTTTTTTTAAGGTTAGGCTTCTTTGTTGTCTAATTCAGCAACATCATAAATATAAATACTTCCAAAGATAGATATGACAATAATCTGACATCATTTTGATTGATTATTGCAATAGAATTAAGATGATCCTTGCTTTCTAGAAAAGGTTAATTTGATTTTTTTTTCTTTTAACCTTTTTCTTTGCTGTCATGTTTAACAACGATTAAAAGGTAAATGCAATAAATACACAACTACTCTTATTTTTTCATATGTTGTAAAGAAGTCAGTTGTTACAAGCAATTATGTATTGTGTGATCATCTACAGAGCAGAGGCAAATGAGGCCATATGAAGTGTTTCTCCTGTCTCTGCAGGTTGATTTACATGAGGATGATCTATAGAAAGGGTAATAGAAATGTAAACTGGAATTAGATTGACTTATGCAAGGTATAGAAATCGCACAAAAGCACATAAATTCAATTCAGTATTTTAGCTCTATATATTTGGTTTTTTCTCCAAACTAGATGTGCTATTACCTCATTCTTTTAGATGTTAGGTGATTTTCCTATTCTTAAAAAACAGAAATAAATGAGGCACTCAAAGCACCATTTTTCAAACCTTTTTCTTTTTATATTTGGGGTTTTTTTCCTTCCCTGTTTAATATAGCTGAAGACTCTGAAGAGGTCTCTTTTCCTAGTAGGAGAAAGTGAAGACTGTTCCATTTAGACTCCAAGATGTCACTGAGAACAGGACTGGAGTCACTCAAGCCACTTTAAAAAACTTTCATCCTTAGAGCTGGCACTACCTGGAAGGATTAAAGGACACATTTATAAGGGCTACACAGTCAGGTGCTTTTGCATTTGTGTCGGTAATACAGCTTTGACCCTGACTGATTGAAAAGGTGTGCAACTGAAGTTGTAGAGAAAATTAGTTAGTCTTCTATGTCATCTTGACTGCCTTGTGATAGTATTTTTAGACACTGATTCCTATACTTCATTTTTGTTAGATTAGTTGCCTCTCAGTGAGTAAAAATTAGCAAAAGTAATTTGTAATCCTTTAGAATCATTACATACAATTTTCAAAATATTCTTTTAGGCTCAAAAATTTTATCCAAGGGTAAAAAGTGTTTCATAATATGATTGCTCTGCTAAATGATACGTATTATAATAAAAGCATCTTTTAACCTCAGTATCCATTGACTCTTCAATTATATCTTATTTGCTGAAATGCCTAATAAAAATAGAGGTAATAAAATATATTATAATGATTTTCCTTTTATTCATATTACCAATAACAGCAATAAAATCTCATTATTAGGAAGTATTTTTCTGGAATACATAATAAAAATATTTTCTCATGGCGTAGTAATCTTAATAATCCAGTTAAAAAAGATGAGTTTGTTCTTCAAAATCATGTCTGACAGAAGCAGAAGAAATTTTCTCTGTATATAGAGTGTGTTTAGTGCTCTAAATCTTACCTTATTTTAGGAAAATGTGTAGTTCTGAGATCACCTTATATTAAAAAAGCATAGTTCTGGTGTAAATGTTCATTTCTTTTCTTTGTGTATTCATGAGGTAAGCTAACCTTTACCTAATGATAAGAATTGGAAAAAAATTCTATATATCAGGCTCTGACAGTTTTCCAGGATTTAATATTTAAAACTGTGTTAAAGGAACTGTGATTAAGGTACTCTGTCAGAGGTGTGCTGTTTATTAGTAGAAATGAATTTTCATTGTACATTTTAGAAGGATGCAGTGAGAGGACAGATAGGTATGAAGGGCTATTGTTCAGTTACTGCCTTATTGTGAGTGGTAAGAGTAAGGTGGTTGCTTTTAAAATCAAAAATTGCTAGCATGAACAGTTAAATCAGATTAGGACATAATCTATTGGAGGTGGTAAATGGAAGAAAGAGGTCTCTGAGGATTTAAGTGTATCTTTCAAAAGCATGACAAATTCAGCAATACTTATTTTCTTAGAAATTGGCAAGTAATTTAATTTTGTGTACTGTTCAAGGGTTGATTTAAGTGTCAGAATAAGTGACTGGGTAATTGACCTGAAAATTAAAGTCGAATATATTGGATCAGAAGAAATTCTTACAACTCATCCAATAAAATACACTTTAAAAAATGTATCTATGTAGAAAATAGCACAATAGTCATGCTAGCTGATCTAATGATCAACTGAACTACATTAATAGGATTGAAAATGTATTTTATGATACTGTGATAACAATATGATATCTGAGTGATAACAATGCAGTTGGAAACATAGCTTTGTAATACAGACTTGGTCACAAGTACGTAATAAGCTCCTATTTAATTTTATTAATTAATTCATATTAATTTTCTTGCTTACAAAACTCAAGCAGCAAGAATAACATGAAACCCTCTATGTTTCATTGCATATTCATCACAGTTATGATAAGGTAAATGAATGAGCTGTTTTCTCATCTATACAAGCTTCTCCAGCAATGTGTTGGAACACCATGGTCGTGTAACATTTCATGACCTGATGAATGCTGACTCATGCAGTAATCACTGAAGAAACACAAACATGAATTGAAAATTACATTTTCTTGTATTTTGTCCTCATTACAGTGCATTTATAGTTCTTTCCTAGAAGAAAGCTGTCAAAGCTTAAAATTAGCAACAGAAACTTTCCAAAAGTAATAAAGAAATGGAAATTCACATTCATGTAATTTTCCAAAGTGCTCTTCTGTATACATTTTAAACAACTCACATATTCAGAGACTTAGGGGAATATCCATATAAAAGCATTCAATTTAAAATAATATTTTTCTGTAGTGTAAACATATAGCCATATTCATTTACAGTGAAATATATGGAGCCTTTTGCAAAATGAAGAAACCGAGATACAGTACATTTTACCTGTGGCTTGTACTCTGGATATTAAAAGTGATTTACTGTCTCACAACAGTAATTTTACTTTGTCTTCCAGATGTGTGGAGGTGATTGCCAGAGAAGGACGGAACCTGAAAGAACTGTATTTAGTATCCTGTAAGATCACAGACTATGGTATGTAATATACCTATATCTTTAGTTTCTGTGAAGATTGAACCGGAGTTCACAGGGATTGTTAGTGAAAGTGTTGGAAATATAGAGATAAAAATTTTCAAAACCTTCATCCACAAAAATAGGAAATTTATAAAAATTGTTTGACTTGTTTAAAAGTATCTGGGGTTGGAAGTATGAAAATCAGTGAATATATTTGCTACAAAATATCCTTATGGAACTGGCGATTACTGGGCAGACTGGGTGGAGTCCATTTTGAATAGTCCTGAAGACCAGGCGAACCTTGGAGAGAAAATCAAAAAATATATATGTGTTTCTAGATGCTGTAAAAGTATAATTAAGCCAGTAAGAATGTGAATTGATCACCTCTTGTAGGCCATAAAATTTGAATGAGGTTGATGATCCTTTAAAAATACTGTTAAGGTAAAATAGAGAGGAGCATCTTGGGAATTAAGTGTCACAAGTGGCACATGGAAAGACAGATTTTTTATTTAGAATATTATTTATTTAGAATTTTAGGAAAACTTTTACTCCTTGTTTGGAAAGGCTTCTTTGTTTTTTTTTAAAAGGATACTGACCTTAAATAAGACACTTACCTTTGCCATAAGACAAAAATGCTCAGATGTCTGTCTCCCACTTAGATGCATAAATTTCAGTAGGATTTACAAACGGTATATTTGAGGTGTTAATTTCAGACTTTCTGATTATTTTGTTTCTCATTCACTATTTTTTTAAAACTTTATACTCCCTAGATTTTAATAAAGAATTAATGTGTCAAAGTGATAAATTACCATTCCACTGGTCACAAACTCATTCTTCTGTTTTCCTTTTCAAATTCTGCACTTCACTGGGGTTTGTATTGTGCACTCAGGGGTACCTTGTTCCGCAGAGTTCATCTCACCTTATGTCCACAGTATTGGAACATGAGGCCACCATGTGTCTGTTGCAGCTGCAGAGCTTGGAGCATGGCAGAGGAGAGGGAACACGGGCCTTTACTGCCCTCTCCTCTGGTCTGCCGATGCTTGTACTTCCCTGGGCAGAACAGATGTTGTCAGAGTTGAAAATGGATTTTCTCAGCTGGACACCACTTGTCCAAGATGAATTTCTGAATTTGTGAAATGTCTTGTGAAAATTCAGGGAGGGAAATAATCTGTAGAACACGAGGTGATAATAATGGAGGTGCTTCTTGTCACTGCTGGAGGGTGAGACTTGTCCCTTCTGTTTGTGTACTGTGGATCTACGGGCCCTACACTTGTCCCTTCTGACTCTGACAGCCCATGTGGAAAGAGTTATCATGTGTTGCAGCAGCCCTCTCATTGGAGGGTAGAAATGAGCCAAGACACAGACTTCTTGTTTATCACAGTATGAAAAGAGTCCTGGTTTATTCCTCTTTACAATTCGGTTATCCTGGCTCCAACTATTCACTGACTCTGGCTGCAGCAAGCTCCCACTGTAGGTTTCCCTTGCAGCCTCTGAATAGGGGTTATTTCCTGCTAGACTGTGGCTGTGCAGACTCTGAATACAGGCTTTTACCTAGCTAGACTCTGACTGCAGGTTCCTACAACAGGTTCTAACTGCAGACCCAGACTGACCTCACAGCAGCGATTCTCTCGCCTGTTTTGCCCAGTCCTTCTGGATCTTTTGTTCAGTATCATCTTCCTCAGGCTCATTCCCCTTCCTCCAGGTCTTCCCTCAAGGCCCTCCCCTGACAAGCCAACCCACCTCTTCTATCACACTTATCTTTATTGGAAATAGCTGTGAGTTATCAGGGGCAAGGTTGTCTGTAATCCCTTCTACAATCATAGGCACAACAGAATCCAAGTCTTGAGGATCAATAATTTCTCAAACTGATTTCACCCTTCATTCACTGCAGTTAGTCAGAGGAAAACATGATTTTCCCCAAAAGTAGGGAAACAACTGAAAGGCTGAAGCAAAGAAATGTAGCATAGTGAAAACCTTGCTTATGAAAGAATAAAGAGAGAGAAAAGGAAGTGTCCATAGATAGATGGAAGGCAGGAAGCGTGTTTCAGAGAATGAATGAGTGGAGCATTTGGCTGATTAGCTCTATCCAATCTCAGCTTCTCTTCTGTATAGTAAGGCCCATCTGTCACTATCGTGTTGTAATCTGCAGTCACTTAGCATCATAGCACTCAGTTACTGGGACTTCGGGAATATTTTCTGTTCATAGTGTTTCTACTGCGCTCTACCATTTGCTTAAAAATTCATCTATTTTTGCCTTTAAGGATCCAGTAAAATAGCTGAGATACTGATCGATTTTTGATATGTTATGAATAAGGTGTAGTGATTGGCTCATGCAAATGAGGAGGAATTATTAAGTATGGTGGGAAGAAGTTCTGTTAAGGTTTATAGTTCTTTTGACACGTACTCTTGTTCCAGTTTGGTTTTGAACCCTTCTCTGTTCTCCCCTCAAATGCTTCCCTTCCCCTTTTGTGGTCACTGCCTGGCAGCTCTGGCTGACAGGGCTGTCAGAACATGTTGGGGGAGGCATATGCTTACCCCTGCAAGAGGCAGCAGGGAGTGTGGGATGCTGGCTGCTGGGAGGCTGGCAGGGAAATACCTCACCCACAGTCAGGGTGCCAGAGCGGGTCCACCAGTGGAGGGCACGAGGACTGACTGACAGACCTTGGGATGAGCCAAATGTACTAACGTTGGTCAAGCCATGTGGGAGGAGCTGGATGGACAAATTAGGACTGCTCATGAATCTGAGTGGCACTGATGCAACCCTGAGTCTGTAAAAGGCAGAGGCACCATTCTGTGGGCAAGCCTCTGGGGAGCAGAAAGATTCCCACTGTGCTCCTGGCACTGACCCCCCGCTTTTGCTTTGTACCTTTAATGGGTTCTAATTAAACTTTATTTACTCATTACCACCTGGGGTCTGAGTAGTTTATAACAGATACATCATTGACTAATTGATTACTGTCATAATCTTCAGCATGTCTCAGCAAGCCAACCTGATAAATTCTGCTTTTAATATCTGAGCTGAAAACGCAAAACAAACTGTAACAAAGTAAATTTATAAGCATAATTTATGGTTTCTAAGGAAGTCAAGATTTTGCTTTAGATTAAAAATCTATGATAGCAAATGAATGTTTATTAGGTTAACGAGAGTGTTTCAGGGTTGAGCCAGGCCCTTTTCACGATTACTGTCTGGCAATTCAGTTGAAGACTTTCTCACATTTGCATTTGTTGCTGGTAAGTTAGAAAGCAAGACCCTTAGAGTGCTGGGAGCTCTGTTTGTTGTTGAACCTCCTTTATCAAAGAATCTGTTTCCTCATGGGGAGAAGAGCAGCTGCTATTCCTCAGAGGCTTTTGAAGCCCCCATGTCCTCAGTAGAGGAAATCAGCTGAGGAACATGGGCCTGACTTACTGGGAAATTTGTAGGTGGTGTCCCATGGTCTTATAAAGATTTAGCGACTTCACACAGGCAGTTGTTCTGGCTCCACCAGGGAGTATCTGAGGCTCTGTGAGGCTGTGACTGACTGAGAGCACACAGTTCTGTGCAACTGTGCTCTGTTTTTGATAATCCTGAGGGTGAAGCATGGAGTTGTCCTTGCTTTGACAATTAAAATCTTCATGCCAGGTTTACACAGATGTAGGATTTCGAAAGCCCTCTTTGATACTGTTCAATGGCAGGTTTTTTATGCTAGGAAAGTGCAGATTTTTGATGTCTGGGACAAGATCATAATTGCTTAGTAACTCAACTGGGAAAAAAAAAAAGTAATATTGATAATTTCCAGCAACATTTTTAATCATTTGATACATTAATTTATCAATAATAACTTTAGTAAATAAAGAAAATAATTACAGAAAAAACTATTATTGTTATTCTTCAATTAATTCAGTAAGGTGTGTATATGTGAGGTAATTTCATGTCTTCTAAAGAAGGCTGTGAAGTGCGATCTTTGTCATTTTATTAATTTCCTTTTTTTCTTTTTCTAATTTCTGCATAGGGTAGATAGTATACAAAGCTACCAGGCATAAATGTTTTTTAATGTAACTAGTGTTTTTAAAGTGAATTTAAATACTAGTTTTTATTTTGGAAGCTTAAAAGATTAAATAAAAAAACCCTACACTCTAATAATGTAGCCATAGGCTGCATTCCTTTCTCTGACATTTTTCTGACCAGAAAAGTATTCTTTATAGTATAGAGACAGATTAGGATTCAGACAGGAATTGAAGAATGTATACATACTGAGAGCTGTTAATAGATGCAGGGAAAAAAGCATTCTGTATTTCAGGTTACATTAAAAAATATAATTTTGTATTTTTGTATTTGAAAAATGTGTTTTGTTTACTTGTGAAAGAACTTATGTTATTATATCCTTTTTTAGGTCTAGCATAATTTTCTCAAGATGTATTTTTGATCAGTGATGTCTGTTACAGTATAACATACTAGGATGTTGACAATGAATTTAAAAGTTACTTTATACCCAACACATTGTTAAATGTTAAATAATCACTAGAATGCATCTAGACTAACAGGACAGACTGAATTAGTATAACCTTTGAGACAAACACCTGTTTGCCCAAGGGCACAGACAGAGTGAAGTTAAAGCTAAACATTAGTTCTTCATAGCATTTTCTCCCTTTTGTTCGGCAATCATGAATTAAGCACGGATTGTCAGTATTATCTTTGAATTTCCTGCCTTTTGTTGATTTGTGTCACAACCTTAACTTTACTTAAACATAGTGGGTTTTGTATTTAAGCTTTTCCTAAGAACTGGTAAGGAAGCGGGACTTTCTCAGCTGTGGGGAGACTGTGTGTCAAATGAATTAGGTTGATGTGAAGATGCAGAGCAGTGAGCTAGGGCAGCAAGCACACACAGAATTGTGTAACTGTCTCTTCAATTTTATGCTCTAGTTCTGGGTTTTATTGATATCCTTAGTGCTGGGAATTTATTTTAAGTAAATTATTACTTATCAAGTTTGTAATAGTGCCAGTGCTATGCACTCTGAAACACAAAAGTGAGATTTTGTATTCA